CTGCGTCCTCTCCCCTCTCCTCTATATTCTGTACACTGACGATTGCCGCAGTCGGTATGATAACAGATTCATTTTAAAATTTGCTGACGATTCGGTAATAGTCAGCCTCCTTCATGATGATGAATATGCCCATGGTCCTGTGGTTGATGAATTTGCAGACTGGTGTGAAAATGTTTTTCTCCAATTAAATGTATGGAAAACTAAGGACATGTGCATTGATTTTAGACAGAAGCCCAATAACACCAATCAGAAAACAGTAATCAAAGGCCAGACAGTAGACATTGTCGAAAATTACAAATATCTTGGGACTATTCTGGATAATAAGTTAAATTTTACCTGCCATTCAGAGAACCTGCAAAAAAAAAGGCCAGCAATGACTGTCCTGTCTGAGAAAACTCTCCAAGTTTCAGATCGATAAGTCCCTGATGATCTTATTTTATAGATCATATATTGAATCTGTGCTGACCTTTTCTCTCCTCTGCTGGTTTGGCAACCAACCAGGTCAAAAAATGCACTAAGCAGTGTGATAAAGACAAGTAATAAGATTCTGGGAGTTCAACAGTGCACACTTACAGATCTGTTCAATAGACAGATAATCAGGAAGGCTAATGCCATTCTTTCTGACAGCTCCCATCCTTTACACTCTGAGTTCCAGTTTCTGCCTTCCGGCCCCCGGCTCAGACTTCCTCGTATGAAAAGTAACAGGTACAAGCACTCCTTCGTCCCTACAGCCATTTCCCTTTTGAATTCAGGACAGGGTAGGAGGAGTCGTACCTGATTGGTTGATATTCATGGAGCTTCTTATAGGCAGGCTGATTTTTGCTTTTGTCTCCATGTGGTGTTATTGATGTTGGCAGAAATTGATAATTACGCACTGTTTGCACTTTCCCTATCTTGTATGGGCTATTTGAGTCACTGCTACTGATGTTGTTTCAGCACACTGTATTATCCCTCCCCCCTCTTAGACTTTTAATTGTATGTCTTGTACATTTTTTATGTCTTTTTTACTTGCTGCAACACTAATTGCCCTACGGGGACATAAATAAAGCTGAATCTGAATCTGAATCTGACTAAGTCATGGTATGGTATGCTGTACATAATCACAGAAACTGTCAGTGTGTCATTCTGTCAAGTCAGTCATTCTGTCTGTCTCACGTTTTTCTACTCACTGACGTGGTCAATCTATGAATCTGTACATAGGCATTGAGGATTGGCATAGGTAGAGGGTGACAAAGCTACCAATGGGTATGGACTAGTTCCTTTAAATAGAGGGTTCTTTCCCCCCTGGACCTCCAGATAAACGTGGATACACCCCAATGTCCCCTCCTTTATACACATGACCTGGATTTGCCTCTTGTCAAAGATAAGTGAGGACAGCAAACGTCAAAAGGGTTGAAAACAGACAATTAATTTTTATATCTGATAAATATAATTCATGTTTGGTAGGTCACTGCCCCCTGGCCTCTTGTCATTTTGCAAATTTAGTATCCCTAGTCTATGGTAAAGACAAGCAACCCACACTTCCGGTGCTAGCCTTCAAAGTAAAAGTACCAAATTAGATAGCTGTGTGTTTTTCTAATATGTCTATGCCTATATTATAAATACAGTTATCATTTTCAAAATTGGTATGAATATACAGCCTGTTCGCAGAGCCCCTCGCTGCCCACACCACTGATTTGGTCTGGTGAGAGCACCGTACATCCCCATTGTTTACAGGAAGTGAGGCTGCAGTCACGTGACGTGTAACGCCGACAGTAGTTTCTGACAGATTTCACTTCAGAGTCCACCTGTGAAAACGTGCAGCGGTTATCTCCAGCATGGAGTTAGAAGCCTGGTACATGGACAGCTCTGATGAAGACCAGAGAAAGCCGCACAGACTGAACCCAAATCAGCCCGTGTCCCTGGAGGAGTTAAAGAAGCTGGGGGTGTTTCACTGGAAGGTAAAGTGACAGCCGCGTTAGCTGCTGCCTAAGTTTACACATGACAGTTAGCTGTCAATTAACTAAGGCTAATAGTAATTTGTACTCCGAGGAGCCAGCAAGAGTCAAAGCTCGAGTTTTATATGCACTTTATTAATTGATAATACGTCTGTAAACTCTGATTTGGGTTACGTAATTTCTTTGCTGTGACCCACAACTTAAAAATGATCCCACAACAAATATGCCGACATTTTTGTAGTTGAGGTGGGTGGAAAAAATACTACATATAATAAATAACCAATAGTCTTTTCGGTTCCTGCAATGCATGTCATACCGCTAACTAGCATCACTTATGCTGTTACCATATGCTATCATGACATGAGATGCCCAAAGGAGCTAACTGCTGGCATTGGATTTGCTGTGTGAAATTATGAAATCACCAAATTGGTTTTACAGATGAGTTTGTGTGCTGATCAGAGCTGTTGTTCTGTTATTGCAGCTGAATGCTGACATCTATGAAACAGATCCAGAGCTGGAGCAGATCCGTAAAGACCAAGGCTACTCCTATATGGACATTATCACCATTCACAAGGACACACTACTTAACTATGAGGAAAAGGTAACCAAAATCACTGTGCACGGGACAAGCTGTTCACTTTAAATTAGACAGTGTCTTCTAATGAGGATGTTTCTCAGTCAGAGGCAGTCACATTGTCAGAGAAGACTCTTTAAGGTGTTAAAAGTGAACCAGAGTGAAGTGTCCCCACTGCATTAGAAGATGTAATGACCTGTGGGAGATGAGAATAATGCTCTGCAGTGGTTTATGACATTTATATGACCATCATTCTCAGTCAGTGGCGAGGACAATGACACATCAGGACAGCTAGCACTTGAACTGGTTGTAAAGTTTTATAATTCAACAAAGAAACCACCATAACTCAAGCCTCTTTGTCTTTTTGTGTCTCAGCTGAAGACATTCTTTGCAGAGCACCTGCACTTGGATGACGAGATCCGCTACATCCTTGACGGCCGGGCCTACTTCGACGTGAGGGACAAGGACGAGCGGTGGATCCGAATTGCCATGAGCAAAGGGGACCTGATCACCTTGCCGGCTGGCATCTACCACCGCTTCACCCTGGACGAGACTGTACGTAGCATACATATGTAACTGTTGTTGGTAGGAAGCCACATCCTTTAAAAACATAATGTAGTTAACTGCTTTTTGATTATCTTGGGAGGTGAAGATGTTCAACACTGACAGTGTAACAATGCACTTGAGAACAGTGGATTAGATGAGATGAGAATAAATGGCGCCTGAGGAGAAATTGGGTTGTTGATGCGGAAAAGAATATTTGAATAAGACTAGAGCAAATATTGAGAGCACAACCCGCCTGGTGTTTCCATACAGCAGAATACAAACACAAAGTGTGCAGTGTGCATTGTCAGCTAGTATTAATATTATCTAACAAATCATGTCATTTACATAGTTGAAGAATGTGCTGATTAAATACTTCTACATTACTATGTCCTCAAAGTGTTGCAGCTGTGGGATGTGTCACTGCTGTCAGTGTTGGCATGACTGTTGCTATTAGCATGTAAGCTTTGTTTGTTTTTTGCACTTGCACAGTAAGTTTACTTTTGACATTGCAACCTAAAGTCTGTTTTGTTTTTCTTGAGGCTGTTGATCTAAAAACCTGAATTCTGGGTCACACTACCTAAAGGAGCACTAAACGATATTGAGAGCATTAATATGGCAGCAAACCGCTATTTGCTATGTAATGATATGGTGGAGAAATGGCTTCATGAGCAGAGAATGAAGTCACATGCATGGTCGTGCATGTAAGTCCATGTGTGTATATCCCACTGGCTAGCTAATTGCAGGCACCCGGCACCGTGTGGACATGGCGGTTACCACTGATATCAGGAGTCATCGCGGAAGCGTGGCGCCCACCCTCCGGTTCCCCCCAGTTAACACCTTTAGCTCTGTCAGCACTGTTTACATTGTTAGCACTGTTAGCATCTCAATGAGAGCTGCGTGTAGAGAACCTTGTTACCATAGATACGCTCTGAATATTAAGGCTGTTTTTATTGCAGTAAATGACCAAATAATGAACTCTTTTTAACACAGGGAGTATCTCGCCACATTTGGATTGATCTCAACACTGTTTGTCTCTACAGAACTACACTAAAGCCATGAGGCTGTTTGTGGGGGAGCCTGTGTGGAAAGCTTACAACCGGCCCGCCGATGACTTTGACATCCGCAAGAACTACGTCGCGTCACTGCAGGGATCCTGAGAGAGAGAGAGAGAGAGAGCTGTGTGATTCCCTATGACCACTGCTTCCACTAGAACCAGGGCCTCTAATATGATTCTGTAGAGACAATGAAGTAGGTTTACAGTTAGAATGTTGAGACACACATTGTGGAGATCTCCTGTAGCAAATCAGGCATTATGCACTAAGATGCCTTTTGGTGAATGAAATCTCAGAGGTGGAATTTCAGTAAGTACATTTACTCAAAGGTACAAGTCTTTTCATTTCATTCTAATTAACACTTCTAGATTTAATTTACCAGTTAGATTTAGATTCTACAGACTGACGTAACTGACCATATAAAGTATCTAAAATTAGCATCCTGTCAACAAAATATATCTATAAATATAGTATTTTAAAAGGGGCCATGCTGCACTTTGTACTTTGACTTTTGATTCCTAAGCATAATTAATATGTATGTTAACTTCAGTAAAAGTTTGATTGCAGGATGGAGCATCACTTACACAGGGTCTGAATACTGTTAAACCACAGGACAATCTGTAGTGCCTTATTCTCTTAAATCAGCTGTATTTGATCTTAGGTGCTCTCAGACTTATCCTCAACAACATGCTGAAATATGCAACTAATACACACTATTTTCTAATTTCATACTCAGATCTCCCTGAATCAGAAGTTAGAGATGTTAGTGGTCTGTGCTAATGGGGTTGAGTGTTTCTGACATATTCATACAAATTGTTTGTTGTATGGAAAATAAAGCTGCTTCTATTTTCAATCTGTGCTTTGGTTTTTATTATCTTTCCATTGAACCAGATGGGTTGATTTAAAATACAGTTTATTGAGGGTAAAACACATTTTAATATACATAAATATGATCAACACAATATATAAACAGTGATAATTAAAGATCCACCAGGACAAATCAATAAAAGATTTAACAAGACAATCATTTTTAATATAACCATTTAAACAGAAAAAACAGCTTTTCTGATATGTACAATTTTGGATTCCTTACACTGTTTAGTTTTGCCTAGTGAACAGGTTACGATGCAATCTGAAGGGCTTATCTATTTTCACTGCATGAGTTAATAAACCTGGCAGCTGAAATGGAGTGGTCCTTGACTTTTAATCCAGTGTTACAGGTGTCTGCTGAGGAAGAGGCTGTGGAACTCAATGGTAGTTTATTAGTCTTTAAGCACACTGAAGCTCAGGATAATGCCCGTGTCAAGACTCGCATTATGAGCCTGCAACTCCCTTAACACTGCCACCAGTCTGTAGTGCAATGTACATCTATGCTCTTAAGTCTCTTCCAATCTCACAATGCTTGATTTGATGATTTGTCTGTGTTGGTATGGGTTGAATATCTTTGATAAAACATTTAGAGGAACAGTTAAACTTTTTGGGAAATACTTTTGCTTTCTTACAGAGCTTCAGTTGAGAAGACTGATACCACTCTCGTACGTTGAATATGAAGCTACAGCTAGCAGCCGATTAGCTTAGCTTAGCATAAGGACTGGAAGCAGGGGAAACAGTTAGCCTGGCTCTCCAAAGGTTAAAAAAATCTGCCTAACATGTTAATATGTGAGCTTTGGACATGTTGGTAGGTGAATTTTGTTACCTTTAAACAGAACCAGGCTAGCTGTTACCCGTTTACAGTCTTGAGCTAAGCTAGCTGTCTCCTGCCTGTAGCTTCATATTTAGCATAATATCTGCACACTAAATACTGGCTAGGGGTTGGTTAGCTTTAGTTAGCACAAAAGCTGGAAGCAGGGGGAAATGGCTAGCCTGTAAAGGTGAAAAAAAATCTGCCTAACATGTTAATGTGTTGGTTGGCCAATTTTGTTACCTTTGGACAGAACCAGGCTAGCTTTTAATCGTTTACAGTCTTTGAGCTAAGCTGGCTGCCTGTAGCTTCATATTTAGCATAATAGCTGCACACTAAATACTGGTTGGAGCTAGGAGCTGGTTAGCTTTAGTTAGCACAAAAACTGGAAGCAGGGGGAAATGGCTAGCGTGTAAAGGTAAAAAAAAAACAAAAAAAAAAACAATCTGCCAAACATGTTAATTTGTGAGCTCTAGACGTGTTGGTTGGCCAAATTTGTTTCCCTTGGACAGAACAGGGCTAGCTGTTGCCCTATAGTCTTCAAGCTAAGTTAAGTGTCACCTGCCTGTAGCTTCATATTAAGCTCAATTTCTACATTCTACATATGAAGTTAGAGCTAGCAGCTGGTTAGCTTAAGTTAGCACAAAAACTGGAAGCAAGGGGAAATGGCTAGGGTGTAAAGGTAAAAAAAAAAATCTGCCAAACATGTTAATTTGTGAGCTTTAGACGTGTTGGTCGGCCAATTTTTTTTTTTACCTTTGGACAGAACCAGGCTAGCTGTTACCTGTTTACAGTCTTTGAGCTAAGCTGGCTGCCTGTAGCTTCATATTTAGCATAATATCTGCACACTAAATACTGGCTGGAGCTAGGAGCTGGTTAGCTTTAGTTAGCACAACAACTGGAAACAGGGGGAAATGGCTAGCCTGTAAAGGTTAAAAAAAAAAAAAAAAAAACCAATCCGCCAAACATGTTAATTTGTGAGCTCTAGACATGTTGGTTGGCCAATTTTGTTACCTTTGGACAGAACCAGGCTAGCTGTTACCCTATTTACAGTCTTCAAGCTAAGTTAAATGTCTCTTGCCTGTAGCTTCATATTAAGTTTAATTTCTACATGCTAGATATGAAGTTAGAGCTAGCAGCTGGTTAGCTTAAGTTAGCACAAAGTGTTTTCAGAGGGATTATGTGCTGGACTGCTTAGCAGGACAATCTTGAGGGATCATTGCAAGATGAGCTTGTCTGTTTGTAGTAAGTAAGTCAGTAAGTAAGAAGTTAATCAGTGAAGAAACACACAATATTGCTGTCCCTGACACATTTTGAAAACTCCCAACAACCAGGTAAAAAGCTGGTGAAGCTTGTTAAACAACCTGTTGCAACAAAACAGTTCCTTACAGGTCCTCTGATTCTAATGCAACGAAGAGTAAACTAAAGCAAACAGCAGCCTCCCTACAAAATGTGTATCCTTCCAGTTGATCAGATTTTGAAGACCCTTCTGTATCACAATCACATTATCAGAATTTTCCCTAAAGCCTGATATTTACGGCACAAACAGAGTGGTATCGATGTTCTCATCTAACTTACAGCACGAAAGCAAATATGCTAAACTTCCCAAAATGTCAAACTACTCCTTTAATCTGTAAAGTAAAATGAACATTCTGCGCACACGGGATTTTTTTGTAGGGCCTTTTCTTTTTCAGAATGTCAATCCACCAGCTTGTGTGAGCTGGCCACCGTTTCTGTTCCTGTAAGTAAATGCATGAGTCATTACTGGGTCACCCTCTACAAGGATAGGAGTGCCGTGCCCCCCTGCAGGCTGATGTGAAAAGAAATGCATGCCTGGGCTTCCCAGATCCATTTTAGAAGTATAAAACCAGTTCTGAAAGATCTTATATCAACCTGATTCTGGGAAACTGAAACAAGCACTAAACATTACTTCTCTGTCACCTCACTTTCACTGGAGTTAGAGCTTTCTACTCCTCTAGGATTCTACTCTTGGGCTTTTATTCTCTGTCGCACTGGATGAGAATGCAATAGTGTTTGTCCCCTCCCAGTTCTTATTCTTGCCTCTTAGACCAGTTTGAGGCACTGTGTGTTGAAGCTGTCCCCCTCCCGACAGGCCACGGCCTCCAGCAGAGCCTGCTTCTTCTGGGTGCTACGAGATGACTCCAGCTCGTACATAGTGGTCAGGTTGAAGAGGACGCTCTCATGGAGGTAGAGCGCAGGGTCCTGCTGCACCAAGCCCTCCAGCTGGCCCAGGGACTCCTTCAGACGACCGAGATAGAGCAGGCAAACTGCTGCGTTGTTGTTGGCCTGAGAATGTACAGAGGGGGGAGAACATGGGTGAGTTTGGATGTTAACTTATCGTCAACTGCGTTATTATGTTTGGTATGAGGTTTCTGACAAGCTTTTAAAGTTTTATCTTAATTTAAATTGAGTTTCACAAATCAAATGATATTGAGTACAATGTACTGGTATGATCAACAGTACAGTAAAGTTTAAAACCTTCCACTATTTGCACAGAAGAGCTGGGTAGATGGGTAAACTGTCAAAGAATAGTTCCAATATGCATCACCTCATAAAACTACCAGTTGGCATTTATACATGTCTGTTTGTGTGCTAATTAAACATCATTAAACGTGACAACATGTAAGTTAAGAGCTTTAGAGGTGCTGGTAGGCATAATGTTTCTCTTTGGAGAAAGCCAGCTAACTGTTTCCCCCTGCTTTCATTCCTTATGCTAAACTAAGCTAAGCATGTCCTGACCCCAGGGGCCAGATAAAACTCTGTAGATTCATGAATAAAACTGTGTATGTACAAAAACAGAAAAATGCATACAAATTCTTTTGGTCAGATTTGAAAAGCTGCAGGAATGCCTGATTCTGTTTTATAAATCTCAATCATTGTAGGCACACATTTAATTTCTACTTCTACAAGTTTGCTATAAACAAATGTGAAAAAAACACCTTTAAAAATCAAGTTTTTGAAGCATATTGATACTTGTGCCCTCTCCATTACTCATCAGACCTGCCATTTAGAAAAACAGTGAGGAAGACGTGCAATTTCACAGATTGTTACATTGCAGAGACTCTCCAACAGCATCAGAACAGCTGTCATTACACGGCTGTGGCTATTTATAGTGCCCATATCACTAGTTCATTGCAAGTATCTGCAATCCATCATCGCAGTGATATCTCAATCATCACTAAATGTGCTCATATTGAAACCAACTTTACAAAGTGCTTCACAATTCAAGATAAAATGAAGAGATCATTTACAGGGAAATAATGTCTTAAAAAAAAAGATAAATAAATTCTATAAATGTACTTTTGATGGACATTTTATAGAACACTGTGTAGACTGCAAAAATAGTAACACGCAACCAAAATAAATAAGAAAACTGTGTACACTTGGTCTAAAGTATGTGTGAGATGTGAATATTCCTCTTTTATAAAAAACAGTTAATGTGTGAGAAAAGGCACATTTATGCATCTGGCCCTGCTCTGTGCGACCAAAATGGACCAAAATTAATATCGGTGTTTCCATCCACTCTCTAACGCCTAATTTATGGTAGGGCCCTCGACACTTATAAGTGTTGTTCGACAGAAATGAAGAATTTTCAGCAGAGAAAGGTGTCGAGCCACACTTTTCCTTCATTTCACTCACCTGGACAAATTTGTCATGTTACAGATAACTTCAACTTCTGTTGCGCAATGTGATTGGAAGTATTACTATTGTTGCCATGGAAATAGCAGTTCAAAATCAACAGTGACTCTGACCTGCATTTAGCATCTCTGTCCACAGAAGCAGCCAACTGTTAGCAGCAGCTCCTGCACAACTGAGAGCACAGCGGCCAGCCAAACTGCCTTCACCAGGCCGACTGACACCAAACATTTACTGAACCAAACTAGTCTTCATGTCAGCTCCAGAAGAAATCAACCGTGTTTGTATTTATTGATTCATTGATTTTTTTTCCCCAGACCAACGCAGTGAGTGAGGGGAATTTGCCGCTCACAGACAGACTGGGAACTGATCAGTCAATTTAGATGTTTAATAAGTTAGTAATACATATATTGCGGGATAGTTCTGTGATTTTAAACAGCTGTCTGTGCAGATTACGCTTCACTGAATGCGACAGAAAAAGGCTTGGACCATAAAATACAAGCAGAGGGTCTCTG